GTCTGTCTGTCTGTCTGTCTATCTATCATCTATCTATCTATATCTATCTACCTCGATGGATTCATACACTCATGTTGCTGTAAAGCATGTTCATCATTCAGACAAAGACCATGTTTCCATGAGTGTGGATTATTTTTATGTGTTGTTTATACTTATGTAATTGATAAAGGAAAATATAGCTGTTATATCAAAAAATGGGCTACACGGTGGAACTGCAGATAGCATGAGGGCTTTTTAGTAATCTTGGGGTTTCTGCATGGAGTTTGCATGTTCTCCCTGTGCGTTTGTGTATTCCGGCTTCCTCCTACAATCTAAAATACACGACTGTTAGGTTAATTAGATTGCATCTCTAAATTGTCCTTAGGTGTGTGTGTGTACCTGTCTAACCATCAGAGTGAAGACCACTTTTTCAATTTCACCATCAGACTGAGGACCAGTTGTTGTAAAGTGAGGATATTTTGCTGGTCTTCACAAACTATTTTGATAACAGTTAGGTTTAGGGCTAAGGTGTCAATTTGGTTAGGGTGAGGTATGCATTGGTAATGGTTAGGTTTAGGGTTAGTTTAGGGTTAGGGCATAGAATGGGTTGAAAATGACCAAAAATCAATGTAAGTCAATGAAGGTCAACACATAGTCCTCACTAGATATAGCAGAACGAGTATGTGTGTGTGTGTGTGTGTGTGTGTGTGTGTGTGTGTGTGTGCATTGTTGTGTGTCTCTTCAGTGCCCGGCGACAGACTGACAAACTGTCCAGGGTGTACCCTGCCTCTCACCCATAGATGGCCGGAGATGGACACCGGCCCCACCATGACCCTGACAGAATAAGTGGGAAGAGATTAATGCCAAAGAATAAACCACTTCCACAATTGTCTTCCAGACATTGTGCCTTATCAGTTTTTTGTTTTTTTCTTTTTTAATCATTGCACACAGGAAACCAATGCGTTAGAGGCATGTCTACATCCATGGGTGTGCCTAAGCTGACCTCTTTCAGTGAATGTTCTGATAGTTTAAAAAGCCATGACATAGCATTTTTCCAAATGTTCTTTAAACTGACAGTTATCTTGGTGTAGTTTAAGTTCTGACATTAAAGAAAGCCCCGCCAAAAAAGAAAAAAAGGAAAACAAAGACATTGCCCTACAAATTGTTTCTCATGTCATTCAAATATTAAATTAATTAATTGAGGAAATCGGTGCTGACTTAAAAATAATGTCTCGTGTTGTAAAGTCCATGCAAAGCTCTGGTTTTAATTGTAAATCAGAGAATATACAAGAACTGTTTGCTGAACTTCTACATATTGAGGACAAAGTAATGATTAACAGTTCCCTATAGGAATATAAGCAGCAAGCACATATTTATACATCTTTTTCCCTGACGGGGGCAGTCATTAAGCCCTCACAGTGGCGTCCGTCAGCACGGTCGAGACACCTCTCCCAGATGTCAATACAGGTTTGGCACACCCTGGCTCACTGTGCCCTTTGAGACCCCACCACAGTCCTGCAAATGTCAGCAGAAAAATAAGCCACTGTGTCAGGCTGCTCGTCCAGCTCTCCTTCTCTCACTCCCTTAAAAGACCTCCATCCATCCCTCACTTAGTCCAGTCCCAGGGGTGGCAGGTCAGTCCTAATTGTATGCAAATCAGGGCACAGTGCATGTCTTTCTAACTGCTGACAATCGATGGGTGACATAAAGGTATTGTAGCCAATGCAAAACAGAGCCTTCAGAGTAAACAGTCAAGGCAGAGGCTGGGAGTGGTGGGGTTAGAGATCATTTTTTTTGTCTCTCCAATGTGATGGTTGTCAGTTCAGATTCTAAAGTGCATATTTTGGCATATGTGTTTTTCATTGCATTACATTAGAAATAGAACATTATAGCGAACCATTTCTTTTATGAATGGACTCTTCTTCATTGTTGCTCATAGTGCAATATCTTTAGTATGACAAGGCAGATGTGAGTAATGCTGATGGCTCATAGTGCCTATCCATTTACCTCTGTCCTCTAAACATTCTCCCTTGTTCTGTTCTGAAACATAATAATCAAGCTCACAGATTTCTGTTCTGACTTCCTGTTAAAAAGAAACTGGCAGTTCTAAATGAATGAAGAATGTGTGTTCAGAAATGACACATCATTTGATGACTAAAACCTCCAATTTGGGATGTGCATCTGTAATGCTTCATCCTGTGTTTGTGCAAGAGAGTGTGTCTGTGTGCATGTAATTGTTGTATGTATTATTACTAACACTAAATTATACTTTTAAATTAAAATTATAATCTTTTAACTGCTGTTTCAGTGAATCTCTTATGTAACATTCATTATTAAAAGCACAAAGAGAGAAAAACAACTCTAATTTGCTATCAACATTCTCATTTAGTTTTACATGTTCTTTTATGCACAGATAATTCAAATTGCAGTTATTTACTCACTTTATTGTGTATTGCAAACACTTCCTCGCTTAACATTTAATTTTAAGCAGCTTCTCAGAAGTCAACAAAGTTACTTATATGTTTTTATTGTTTTTGTTTTTTTCATTTTTAGTGTTGTTTATCCAAGTAGTGAGATTTCAGGGAAAAACACTAATAAAAGTCTTTAATCAGTGAATATTGGTAGAAATTTACAACTGCAGAATTACTTTAGGTTGCAGCTATGGATTTTTTTATTCAAATTCAACATACAGCCAAACAGTGACACAGTAAAAGGAAACACATACGCTTTCATGTTCTTATTTTAATGAAGATGATATATAATTTTTAGGTTTTAAAGTTAATCTCAAACAATAAAAATATTTATTTTTTTTATAACTCAGTTTCTGTATTTAAAATCTGACAGGTTTAATGCATATTATGATTAAACAGAAATGCTTTTGTCGGCTATAATATAAAAAAAATAAAGAAAAGAAATCACTTTATCTACTCGAACGATGGAACGGCTTTCCTTTAGGTCAAAACTTTTGTTTCACTTATAAGGGGATAGACAAAAATCCGTTTTTCTGCACAGAACCTGAAGGCAACATAATGAACAAAGGCCTATCAAATGAAGAGGGTGTGGATGAACTGCGCATGCGCAAGAGAGCTTCTTGTCGGAAGTCAAGTCGGATTAAACCAAAGGCTTGACATCAAACAACCGAACATTAAAAAGGTAAATTTCCTTTGAAACTCTCTTCATAAATCAATCGTACAGCGTTTGTAAACGTTTTCACCAATCCTTACCCTCACCAGTGCGAATCATGACATAGTATTTTTCGCAGCATTGTAACAAGAAACCTTCAAGTAAATGTTTGCTAGCGTCAAAGCCACGAACAAAGGAGTCAGTCGGGACCTACGTGTTTGCCTTTAACAAACATGTATTTCCTGTTGTTTGAAATCTAATTTTATACGGTTTGGTTCTTTACTAGGTGTTACAGACCCGCTAAACTACGTTTTAATATCTTAAGACACAGTACTGTTGCTGTTGGCAAACAGAAAGGGATAGCATCAGACGTACTGTACAGCGACTGCGCAGAAAATTATCTAATGTAAACTGTAACTTCAAGAGTGGTGCCGGTGCTTCATCTATTTCTGTCTTTTAAACATTTTGATTTATCCATTTGGGAAATGTAGCGCTTCAATGACCCTTTTGTGTTCCTTTACCAGAATTATGTCAGGATTTCTGGACGGGATCCGCTGCGGAGACTGCGATTGCAATGTGGACTGGGGAGAGAGAAGAAATAGCATCGCATCCATAGCTGCTGGAGTTCTGGTATTTGAGATGGTCCTATTTGTTAAAATCCTACATATACTGTAATCTCAGGCTAGTTTGAATGCACTAAACACGGATTTAACTGTTTGTAATAAAGATCCATCTTTTTAGCCTCACATGTTTGTAAACAATCTTCAAACGACTGAGGGTAACTATGTTTATTTTTTATGTAGTTTTTCACAGGATGGTGGATCATCATCGATGCTGCAGTAAAATATCCCTCTGAGGGAGAGTTTCATCATGCCTATCACACATGTGGAGTTATAGCCACAATCGCCTTTCTCATGTAAGTGCAGCTTTTCAAACTTGCTACAGGGGGAAACTAATCTTTCAAAGTTCATTTATCTGGTGTTTTTCTGGAGCTTGTAGCTTCTTTGTGTGATACTAATGGATCAGAGGTAGCTTTGATCATGTGACTTTGCAGTTTTGGTTATGAGTTCCCACTTTGTTGTTGCTATGATTCCCCAGTGTTAAAGCCACATACTAGATCTGATTCGACATAATTTATATATCACCAATTTACAACACATACCATCTGAAAGCATTTCCCAGAGACAATCGGATCAAATATTGCAGTCGGATTTAGGGCTGCAACTAACGATTATTTTGCAAATCGATAAATCTGGCGATTATTTTTTTTTTATTAAAGGTGCAGTTGGAGATCTTGGTAAAAACGGTTCCAGCAAGCAAAATTTTTGAGCATCTATAACCATGTCTCTCTGTTCGAACCCCTCGAACCACGCCTTCGAAACACATAAACGCGCATGCTGTCTGCAGAGCAGCTGAAGCAGCGCATCGCTGATCTCGGAGCTAGCAGGGAGACAGACAGCACTGCTGATGCAGAAACACAATGATCACTCCTCTGAAACAGTTTAACTTAAAATGTCGAAATCTGCCAGCAAAACATGTTCACTTTTATTATCCTGGCGCATGTTACGTACATAAAAAAGGCCTTCCTGCCGCAGCAGCAAACGGCGCAGAGGCGACCAGGCCATAGGCTGCTGTTGAATGGGATTCTTAGTGACAGCCCACCGTCGGTATGTGGGGGTCTTAGCGGCTCCGACAGAAATGATATTTGAAGGCAGGATGGTAATCTGGATGAACTTACTGGACAGACCCATGTTTTCCAGGTGGACTTTCTTACTTCAAAATAGATTCAATCTACTTTTTACCCACTGATAACAGCATATATAGCTGCCATTGTTGCAGGCAAAGAAAGGATGGGGTAGCTCTGCCCAACTAGAGCAGCAAAGATTCTTCAGCCGCGAGTCATAACTAAACTTGTATAGCATCAAAAATGAAGCGGCATGCATGTTTTTGCGATTTCAAAGCGTCCGAGATTTTTGTTGACTACAGTGCAGCAGAACCGAACCGTTAGCTCTGGGGCTGGGGACACCGCGAACCTGATCCGGTGATGATAGTCTGGACACCAGCGGCCCTGTGCTTCCCCCCGCCTGCCCGGTGAGGCAACCGTCACAGGGTCGTGGTTGATTGCTCCGTCGATCCTGTCCAACGGCCCCAGCAGCAATTATCATGATCATTTGCCATGGGAAAGGCATGGCCTGCTACATATTGCATTTTTGAGGAATCGCATCATTAATTGCATATGTTGAATCACAGCTTTAGTCTCATAGCTTTTAACTAAATCTGACATGATTTAATTTTCAAACTTAATCTTCATTTTCTTCCTCGTCCCTTTGGTTCTGGTCTTGTGGCACCTAGACCAGGCGGTGTGTTTCAGCCTTTAGATGCAAAATATTAAAGTTATTGGTAACACCCTGTTCTTATTTTCATTAGGGATGTGGACAACTTTCTAACTAATGCTGAGCCCCAAATATGACATTCTTTAACTTCAGCTATGTCTGGTTTGAAAGGTTCATGTTGTCAGGAGATATAAAGGTCTCAACTTTCTTTTCCCGTTCGACTTGTGTAGGATAAATGCTGTGTCTAATGGCCAAGTGAGGGGAGACAGCTACAGTGAAGGATGCCTTGGACAAACAGGTGTGTACATGGATAATTCTCTCCAAAAGCTTAGTTTTCTCATTTTCTTTCCAATTCAAGTAATATCCATTCCATACTCTCTTGTCACTCACTTTTAGTAGAAATGTGTGAGGGGGGGAAACAGCCTTTAGCATGTCGTTGGCATTGATCATTGTCTATTTTAGAATATCTTGAGTACATTTTTACTGGTGCTGCTAATCCTTAACAAAAGCATTTTCAATTCAGAAATACTTTATTGACCCCTGAAAGGAAATAAAAGAATAAGTACTCTGGTAGAATTTTGATCAGATAATTGTCCAATCTTTCCTTAAGACGTAACAGTTTTCTAGTGTTGATTTCTGGTGTCCATTTTCAATAAAACTTAGGCCAGGGTTTTAGAAGTTTAAATGAAGATGTTTAATAGAGGCTTTTTTCAATCTATTTCAAAATCTGTTTTTGGTTAAAAATGTACCAGATTAAATTTTTGGCTTATATCTGATCTCCTTTTTTAAACTCAAGGTTTACCTGAATTTCTACATATTTCTAAAACTTTTACTGCTGATACTCTAATTATTCATCCAAGAGCAGTGAAGTAATTATTAGGACTTATTGTGATTTTTATTTTTTCCACAAATTAATAGATTTTTTGTAATTATGATTTTCATCTTATGTTGTCTCAAGGCACTTTACTAAATAGAACATCCACCTGAGGGCTTTAACAATTGATTTTGGTTGAGGCATTTACCGCTTATTAAGAGTAAATGATTATGAACACCTCTGACACAATTTGGAGTCGCACAGCGAATATATACTGTAGCAGGCAGAACAGACTTGTGCATAAATGATCGATGAAACATGCAAAAGAAAAATACTTTATCTTTTAATTTACCCATGATAGGAGTTCAGGAAGAGGGTGAAAACATAAAATGGTGATTCTCTTCAAGCCTTGCAAAAACAACGAGGGACTGTAGTGCCTAATCCCAAACCAGCCCCTAAACACTAACCCTGAGCACTAACCCTATATTTGCGTGTTCCCGCGGAGGGTCAGCCACATCAAGTGCCTTCCCAAACTACGTAGTGGGTAGGGCCAGTGGACCCTTAGATAGCAAGTCTGCATAAGTTCAGGCTCGCTGGAATTTGGCAGCAGGTGTAACAGTGCTTTAATGCTGGAGGAAACGCGTGCATTGAAAAGGAAGTTCCAACGCTTTGCGGAATCTTCACCACACTAACGAGAAATCAAAAGTTAGGTATAAGAAGAAAACGTAATTAATTCCAAAAGGGAAGGTCCTCTTTAAAATAGTTTTATTTGACCATATACATTTGTTTTAAGAAAGCGGCTAAAATTATATTTTGTCACACTGCACCACAGAGCTACAGCCATGCACACGTGGCGTCAATGTGTTGCCCTAGAAATGGCTGCTTTGTTTTTCCCATTTCTGTCCAAACTTCTCACTGCAACTCTGTCAAACAAACCATGAAGTATTGCGCAAGGTTACTCTCATAGTAACCTGCCCTTCCTTATCTGTTTTTGCAGGGGCTCGAGTTTGGCTCTTCATTGGCTTCATGCTGGCTTTCGGCTCCCTCATTGCTTCCATGTGGATTCTCTTCGGAGGGTTCGTAGTGCCTAGTAAGTGTGTGTTTTTATTTTTTATTTATTTTAGTTTTTTTTTACTGAATTGCAGGAAGCACGTAGCAGACACTTTAATATGTAAAAGCCTATTAGGCAGTAATTGTATTGTGCAATCATGATAATATAACTTGTGTTTTACAGAGAAGGACACTGTGTATCCTGGTATTGCCATATTTTTCCAAAATGCGTTCATTTTCTTCGGGTAAGTTCATAAATGTTTGCATCTTTGATCATATTTAGCAAAAATAACTTGTTACTCATGATATCTTAACTGTCTCTAATTCAGAGGTTTGGTCTTCAAGTTTGGGCGCACCGAGGATCTCTGGCAGTAGAAGTCTGGCTTTCTGTCTGGTGTTAAACACTCTGCTTTCTTAATGTATGAAACAATATTGCTTCAGCTGTCATTCATTTAAATTTAAACCCTTTTTTCCCTTTTACATCAGATTGTGTAATTTATGTTTTCTGTTGTAGCTAAATCATAACTAAGCACAAAGTTTCCTGTATTCATGTAAATGTTAAACACTTTCGAATGTGGCACATCTATAAATGTGTGTTTGCACTCAGACTGTATCCATGTTCTTTTAGTGGTTTACAGGTTGTGTTACCAAAATGTACATAGTGGAGCTTGGGTCAGACTTCTTTAATAAAACATTCTTTAATTTGAACTGATTGTGTGGATGTTTGAATTTATGCATATTGCATATTTTGTTTTTATCTTTTGTAAATAATCTGCTCTGAACTGAGTGAGATTAAATGCTGACATAGATTTTTCCCCAAATTGCAGACATCAGCAGTCAAAACGGTAAGCTGTTGCTTTTACAGTTGCCTGATTTCAGTTTTATTTTATTTTTGTGTTTAAAAAAAAAAAGATACAGCAGCAAAACCACAGGGATGTAAATGCATTTGACTTTTATCCAGCATCTAATCTGGATTTTTTACTTAATTTTATTTTAATTTTTTTTAAGTTCAAATGCATCTAATTTCTGCTCATCACAAATAATTATATATATATATATATATTCCTAAGATATATTTTTATTTCTTTGTAGAAGCACTTTAAAAGAAACTATTCTGGTCAGTCTTTGTCAAATGCTTTACCTTCATTAAAACATTAATTGTCTTTGTTTCATGAATTTTAAGGTTTTAATGTTGTTAATCAAGAAATATTCAAAAGTAATACAAAATAGTTTGTAAATTGTGCATAGCAATTCCACGCTGATTTATTGAAAGTGGTTTAAAAAGGTAAAATGTCAACTATAGCTTACAGCTAATAAAAAGTGAAAAATCAGTTTGTCTGGAAAAATGAAAGAAGAAAAGTATTGGAAATGCATAAATGTTATGATGCTGCCAGCTCCTTTATAAAGGAAGACTGATGTGAGTGCTGTCCAACAGTCATTGGCAACCTCCACAGAAGGGTGCTGGTGACTGACAGTTTGCAAATTTGTGCACAAATGATTTACATTTTTTATCCTGCATCACTTTCGAGGGAAAGCAGGCTTAGTAGCTGATTAGAATGAGACGGTAAATTATTACAATGACGGTTTTCTTTGTCAATTAAACTTTTGTCCTTAAAAATTCTAAATATTAAGAATAAAATCACACATGTTGTTTAGCTTTAAAGTGAGATCTAAAATATGGAATATTTTCCTAATACAAATCAAGTAAATAGCTAAGAATAGGAAAAATTAACTTTGAATCATTATAAAGTTGAATTTACAATTAGACTAAAATCCTTGTAGACCTTCAGTTTTTGCTTATTCAACATCTAGAATCTAGATGCAGTCACTCTGGCTGCCTTGAAATGATATCTTTTCACCATTAACAGAAAATTATAACTGGACAACTGCTAGTCCTGTTGTAAGGCAAAGCAAGCTTATTTATGCAGAACATTTCAGTTGCATGACAAGTGAAAGTGCTGTACAGCACATGAGAGGAGAAAGAAAAGTACATCGCAGTGGTATAGTAGCAACACAAATAACAAAATAGCATTCTAATATGGAAAAGTTATAAAATGTTTGATAAAAAGTATTACATTTGCTGAAGTTTTTTATAAGCAGTGGTTTTCTCCACTGTTTGAACATGCTTACCTATAGAGAGGGACTGCTACAAACAGCAACACAACCTAAGACAAGACTTTGACTAGAGATATCTGAATGTGACCTTAGATTGACTTAAGTAAAATTCAACCAAATTTTTATTGAAATCAGCTTTGTTTGTGGAGTTCCTTGAGATGACATGAAGAAAAAATTATTTAATTACTATTCCCAAGCTAATAAATTAGATCAGCGTTTCTACTATTTACTAAATAACCCATAACAATAATGATTTAATAGTTTATTTTAAATTTGTCATATCCTAGCCTGAGTAAATACACTATATTGTATGCTTTAAAAAGAGTATTTTCAAGCTATAATCTGGAATTTTATTAAGTTTTTTTTTTTTTTCACTTTTGAAGTGACCTTTTAACCAGCTTCAAAGCAGAACTCATTTTACTTTGCTCACTAATGAGATTCATAATTTTTTTTACATTGTTTAAAGATGCAGTAATCTCAATGAAAACAAACTTTTATTTTGGAGAAAGTAATGCAATTCATAAACTCTTCAAAAACGTACATTAATTCTATAATTTAGCAAATAGAAATAATTCTGGTAGTCTTAACTAACTTCAACAGGAAAAGCTTATAGTAAGGAAAAGTGTGTTTCTCTTAATAGTGTTTGAAAAAAAATGGCAAACTAGACCAAAGTATTATTGCATATGAATGATTTCAGTGAGGGCATTAGGTAAGGTTGCTTAGTTAGTTGGAGTTAAACTCAAAGCAGTTTTGTCTATTGATTTATTCCAGTATGCTCACTACATCAACTTTATACACTAACGTTTTTTTATTGCTGGAAGTGATAACAGAGAGTCTTTTAAGGCATAACTCCTGTCAACATTTCGAAATACACTTTATTGCAAACAATAAACCCACAATGTTATCAATTATAAGGGAAATAAGACTTCCTGCTTGTAGAACTGTTCTCTGCAAAAAAAAAAAAAAATGTTACAGTCCTTTAGAGCTCAGTCCACATGTGTACTTCTATGCATTTCTAATGGAATTAAATGTGTTTTTATGATATAGTTTTTTTTTGATAAAAAAACAACAAGTGCGTAGAGGACTTCAAGAATGTTCACATAATTAGCTTGTTTTATTCGTTCTTTTTTGGTTGCAACAGTGGAAAAAAGGCCTAAATTTTAAAAAAAGCAATATTAGAATAACTGCATAGAAAACAAATTAATATCCATCCATCCATTTTCCATTAGGCTTATCTGTGGCAGGGTCGCAAGGGGTGCTGGTGCCTATCTCCAGCTGTCTACAGACGAGAGGCAGGTTACCAGTCCATCGCAGGGCAACACAGAGACAAACATGACAAACAGTTATGCACACATACATTTAGAGAAGCCAATGAACCTAACAGGTTCGGACAGTGGGAGGAAGCCGGAGAGAACCCGCGCATGCTCAGAGAGAACATACAAACTCCACGCAGAATCGAACCTGGACCCTTCTTGATGCAAGGCAGCAGTGCAACCTACAGCCCTCTAAACAAAAAAATTAATAAAAAAACAAAATACATATGAATAAAAATGTACAGCTCAATTTCAGCTAGACCACACGGCATAATGTATGTAGCAAACATCCAATACATAAAATGCTGTTGCAGAATTAAAACATTTAAGAGTTTTTAACCAAACAACAAATGTTTCTTCAAATTGGTTGAGTCTGTCTGTATGAGTGTGAAAGCTACCCATCGCTAGTCAATTGAGCTGTAGTAGTGGCCCACTTCTAGTAGGGCGGAGGGTTGGAGGTTTTTCAGTGTTTTACTGTAGAGGTTCACATTTTGCATTTGTTATGGCCAGAATGACCCACCTCATTCTGGGGGGGAAAGACCTGATTTTGCAAGATCTAATGTAATGTTCAAAATAAAAACAGCTTTGTATAATTTTGAATGTTTCATGTCTTTTTTTGTCAATACTGTATTTTATAATTCTTCTTTCCACTGGCTCTAAACATTTGCAAAGGATCAGATGTTTGATCCAAGTAGATATTTTTGGTTTTTGTTTTACAAAATTAATGAAATTATTATGAAGTGTGTCTTCAGTTACCTCAGCTTTCTGGCAAGAATCGGGGTGGGTAACCCTGCTTCTAGCTCTGTGTGGGAAAGAGGTCTGTAGCAGTTTTCAGTCAGCTTTCAGATCCTGGAAGGACTGGTCAAATGCTACCAGTCAGGCTGACTGGGGGCCAAGTGTTACAGCTGAACAAGACCTGCAAAGACAAACAGCAAACACAAAGCCTGTGCATATTTAAAGAGTGAGTTTAACTGCTAACGAGCTAAAGCACGGCTGTCCACATGAAATAGAGCAGGAGGCTCATGTTGACTCTGGAGGGACTTAAGAGATCCACCCCTCATGTGGAAAATTCTATTAAGAGCAAAACCAATACTCATTCACTTTACAAATCAGAATTTTCCTGAATATATGGTGGTGGTGGCAACATCAGTCTGTGAAGATGATCCTTCTTCTCCAGTAAACACTTCAAAGCTGGGCAGAGTTGATTGGACAATGCATGGAGCCCTGGAAGACTACAAAAGATTTTCGATTGGATACGATAAAAACATTAATTAAATGGTTTTAAGGTTGTACTCTTTAGTTCAAACTTTTACAAAGTAGAGAGTTCTTCTATTTCTTCTCATTCTTTTTCTTCTTTTTGGTGGATGTAGTCCCACCTTTTATTACTTCACAGCTTAACTGTGTCTTGGCTTTGACTCACCCTTCCTCTTCATCATCTTTCTCATCATTTCTCCATCTCCATACTCCCCAGAAAGTCAAATGTTTTCCTCCCTTATCCACCTCTCACGCAACATCTCTTTCCCCCCTCAAATTGTCCCACAGGTCTCCTGCTATCGTCAGTGTAATCCTGCCATATGTAATCTCCAGCTTAATCCTTTCAATCTCCCATGATTAACACAAAAAGATGTTTGAATGAGGGCAAAAAAAAAAAAAAAGAAAGAAATTACTGTCCATTATGCAACAGGTCTCGAGGTACCTATGTGGGGATTATCTGTGGGTTAGGGAGAGGGGAAAGAGTAGAGAAAGGCAAAGAAGCAGAACAAGGTGAAATGTGGAGGGGATTAAATACAAGATTTGTACACCAATAGTTGCATCTAGCATAAAAAACTCTTTATTCTGCTGGATAAATTAGGGAGGGTTTGTGGTTGAGCATTGTTAGGGCAACTAAGCATCAGTAGAACCTAAAGGAAAGGAACAGAAATGTCTAAATCCCAGTGGAGTTGACTGGGGTGCTGTGAGGTTACTGCTTCAGACACCTTCACCATCAGTGTTAGCCTTTCATCTAACCCTCCCCACTTCCTATCTGAGGGAGAAGCATAACAATCACAAAACCGCTTTATGACTCATTATTATAACGTCTGTGTTGTAAAAACAAAGGCTTTTTGTGACAGATTTTTAACTCAATTTGAACTACCGTATTACTAAACAAAAACAAAAAAAGTAAAAAATAAAAAACAAACCTGAAGAGGCTCTTTAAGCATAAGCTGTATGTTTTTACAACCTTGGGATACATTTCTGCTGTGCAATCAGGCTGTCACAGAAGGAGAGAAAGCAAGACAT